GTTCAGAAACCTAGTAAACGCACTAAATTAGGTGATATAACCCATTTTTGCCTATTTTCACCGAAAATTAGGAACTTCATACTACAGAATCTGATTGAACAGATAAAATAGAGTAGATCTTGATAGGCTGATGTAGTTTGCATCGATTTTGAGTGAATTATGAATTTTCTAATTTTCAGTGAAAATAGACAAAAATGGGATATATCACCTAATTTAGTGCGTTTACTAGGTTTCTGAACATTTTTCAAGAAGCAAACGCTGTTATAAGACTCAGCGTGGTCGATAACCTATGTGTTCCTCCATTCATTTTCGAGATTACTATACCTAAGAAAATATCGATCCTTGGACTTCGAGGAAATCCAATATCAGGTCTAAACTACGGCAGATTCAGAGACCGCTTAGTTCTCATTTTGTAGAAGACACTTTGAACTACCTATTCATGAAAAGAAATCAACACTTTTCTATTTAAATTTATGAATTTATGAAATAGTTTTCCAGCGACCTAGTCGAAAATCAGTTTTTTTCTTCAAAATGTTTCCTCTTATGGAAAGACACCCTCAGATGTCTGCTTTCGAATGGTGAACACCACATGACTTCATCTCGCTTCATTTCATTTTCGCTTTATTCAGAAAATAGCCACTGCTCGTTCAATTTCAAATGGATAGTAGTTTTTGATGTTGGAACATTCTTGTATAGAATGGTTTTAAGTTTCGTCTGCTAACTTTACATTTTAACAAAACTCACAATGATCAAAAGCTTTAGGAGAAGCTTTTAGCTTTTTAGCGTGTATTGATGAATTAGCTGAAGACTTACCGGCATGGTAAAAGATCTGGTACGTCTCCTTCGTAACCAGCTTTCAATTTTCCAAAATGTTCTTCGCCTAATTTAACTAACTGTTCATGGTTAATACCACCAGCAGCAGCTAACACCATTCGAGGTGCTTTATAATGAGTATTAACATATTTTAATAAATCTCCTTTCTGGATCGATCTAAAATGAATAAAGAGATAATAATTCTATAAAAAATCAGTATACAGAGGTTTAAGTTTACAGTGTCAGCTATAGGATGAAGAATTTCTTTATTTGAGACAAGACACCTTTTAAGGCTTTATGGTACACATACTTTACATTCTCTGTTGGTCCCAATATTGTTCTTCCTAATGGTGTTCCTTGATAGGCCGTTGCATGTAAATAATCAAAAACAACTTCTTGCAAATTATTTTCTATTTCTTGCATTTCACGCAAGATTGTTGAACGCTCGCGTTCAATTTCCTCTTCTCCAAATTTGCTATTCTGGATGATATCAGATAATAGCTCAACAACTAAAAGCAAAAGAACAATGCTAGTTCTCACATATATTTCTTCTTTAAGTAGTGCACAGATAATTAATACAACTGCTAAAAGTATTTACTAGTTTATGACGCATCATAGAATAAGCCTTGTTTATTGTGCTTCTTCGCATAAGTCTGGAAATCTTAGGAGTGTTGAATAACAATTTACTGACAAAAAGATCGAGCCGTTCTTTAACTTTGTCCTATTATTCATGTAAAATTTTGATTCCTTTCGAATGAAAAGTATATTCTGTTTTTCTTACTTTGCGGTAAATCTTTACTGAAACATTTTGCATAGTAAACTGTTTGTTCTCTTGATGTATATGCATTTAAATGTGCACCCAAGTTTTCTACTTCTAATTCTAAATTCGACTGAGTACGTTTATTTGTACCCTAGAAAAATAAATAAATATTAGGAGAAGAATTTTCAGGACTACACCGTATACTTTAAATGCCATGTGTTCGAGAAAATGTGCTGTGCCATTATTTTTATCTGTTTCAAATCTACTTCCAGCATCAATCCAAACACCAACTGTACATGTGGGAAGTCCATAATCTTCTGATGCTACTCTTAAACCATTTTGTATGGCTGTTACGCGAGTTTCTGGTACATTTAGTAATGTTTGTTCATACGTTATACTCGGAGAGGATACTGCTACACTTCGACTCTAAAAAGGCAAAAAATGATAAAAAAGAAGTAAAGGTCACTGAGGATGAGAGAGAGAGAGAAAGTAGAGCTAAGGAGTAGGAAGAAACTGCACTACCGAGAAATTTCAAATGTGTTTTTTTAAATTTTGCGTCACACCAAGTCGCTTTCTTGAAGAACACGTATTTTCCTATAGAATGTTCGTATCAGCGTTTTTAATAATCATTTTGTTCACTTTACGTTTCGTATCGAAGTGGAAAAACCCATTTTGACGATAATAGCAAAGTGGAAAGTTCCACTCTGGAAAATTCCATCAACACTGATTCGTATAACGCAGTCAGTGGAAGATTTACATAGATTCGGTTCCTGCAACAGCAAGCAAACCGGGGCGTGGAGAAAAGTGACTCGGTAGAAAGTGTTTGTACGAATATGAACCCTTGAAAATTGTTAAAGAAAAAGATTTTTCTTCAACTCATTCCTATTTTCTGAGTAGCTTACGACGTGTACCTGCTTTCGTGTAAAATTTTTCAATTGATGTCGAATTCCCTTAACAATTCCACGTGACAACATCTTGTTCACTTATCATTTAGGCTCAACAAGCAAAGGGAGAGAGAGAGAAAGACAGTTATATTAATTTGGAATTGTTATTTCTTGCTGATGATAGGACAGATTAATACATCCAAGTTAGCCATTCTTCCAACTCTACTGGAGCCTCGATTCAAGTTCGTTCGCTTCATTCATCGTCAATCAAATAAGTTTTCTGGTTGAACCAGTATTTTTATTTCAAAATTCACTCGAAACAACGATATGTAAATAGCTTATATAGTGCATAACTACGTCGAGCTTGTTCACCAATCAGCGTTAAGTAGATCGGATCAGGTGAATGAACTGTTGATGTAGGAAAATTTTACTACTGATCACGGTAAATTTGAAAAACGAAACGTCCGTGATTTTTTCACCTACTTTTCTCTGAACCACATACAAAAGTTCATCGATCATTTCTGTATATTTGCCTCTGCGATTTTAGTATTGCTGTCAGTGGCGGCGCGAAGAAGTTAAAGCAGGAGGAGGGTAGTTTCAAGAACCGGAGTAAGTTCAAAAAGATGTTCTGACAAGTTTGATAAAGTAAAAGAAATAATACAAAATTTGACATTTTTTCATTTCGGATTTACAGTTGTATAATCCGTTACCTCCACACTTTGCAGACACAGGAAGAAAACAGCATTTTTTCACTGTTCCTTCATATCCTTCACAAAACAACATACTACATTCTACGA